GCCGTTTGTTTGAGGATGATAAGGAGTTGATTTTATGTGATGAAAACCTATCTTTGCCGCTAGTGCTTTGAGGAGATCGTTGTTGAAATGGACACCATTGTCTGTGATAAGACGATGTGGTACTCCATATCTGAAGATGAGTTCATCAACAAGGATCTGGGCGGTTGTTTGAGCAGTATTGGTTGGTGTTGCTTTAGCTATGACAAATTTGGACAGATAGTCGGTAATAACTAGCACGTAACGGTTGCCGTTGGTTGTTGGTGTTGTCGGACCCCAATAGTCCATACCGAGTATCTCCATAACGCCTTGCGGTGGCTCGATCGGTAAAAGTTTTCCTGGAGTTTTTGTGCGACGAATATTAAATTTTGAACATTTTGTACAAGAGGCGATATGATTATCGATGGATGATTTCATTTTAGGCCAGAAGTAGCGAGTTTTTAATTTCTGATATGTGCGTCTGGTACCAAAATGACCAGCTGTCGGATGATCATGATAAGCTTCTAATATCTCGGTTACTAATACAGGTGGTACATATAAAAGCTTGTGATTTGTATTTCGACGAGTTGACAGAATTTTGTATAAAATTTTGTCTTTAACGATTAATGTAGGATGAGACGAAGGATCGACGAGTATTTGTTGGATGGTTTCATATAGTGTAGGATCGCTATGTTGAGTTCGTTTAATTCGATCGACACTGAAATCTGGTGGAAGAGACGACGTGGGATGGGGGATAGCAACAGGCAGTGTAGGACATGTCGCTGTTGATGTTGAGGCTGTTGCTTTTGTCATAGAGCGGGTGGTAACATTTAATTGTGGAGGTGATGATGATAAGTTGGGAATCATAAGTGTTGCCAGTATGTGAGCAAGGTCAGGTCGGCTCATAGTATCAGCATCGCCATTCGTTTTTCCTTTTTTATAGTTGATAAGCTGAATATTAGGTAATAAATCCTGATATTTGATTAGCCACATGTTGATACGTTTGTTGTTTAATTTATAATTTTTGTGAAAATTTTGCAAAGGACGATGATCTATTTCAATAATAATGCGGATCCAGTTAGTTGCATGCGTGTTTGTCTTGTTCATTTTTGTACAAGAATGATAGGATTATCATTTTTTTATTTTGTTTTATCATGTTATAAATTATCCCATTGTGTTTTGTTACTGACTACAAAAATTAGAACAATAAAAAATAGAAATGATTTATAACACTAATTATAAAAGCTAATTATCGTTATTGTAATTACACTAACAGAACACAAAGACTAAAGAACACGCCATTAGAATGTTTCTGGATAGTTACATAGGAGATCTATAGCGCTTTTCTCTACCATTGGAATAGAGCCGCATAAAAAATTTTCCCTACACCAACTAACACACCTTTTAAAAACAGAATTATGAGAGACGAACCGTTTCGACCGGTGTAAACCTCTAACTGGAAATTCTTTATCAAGCCACGAAGATCTGAAAACATTCAGGCAAACTTGTTCTGCAAGAAGTACTTCATCCACAGCTTTTGAAAGGAGCAACAAATATGTATCCCAGTATTTCACGCAGCGATCTTCCAAGAAAATTTCATTAAACATAAGGAAAGAAATGATAAGACCAGTGGCGACAGAAGTAGTCTCGTTTCATACATGTATAACAGAAATGCAGAAATTTTTGAAGGTCGATAATGGGGTTCGCCCCGCTGACCTTGTTCGGTTGAGAATGAATAAAGACATAAAACAACAGAAATGCAAGAGATATTGTCGTTTATCGGTAAAATGAGGATAACCATTTGATCATGCAAAACTCGAAAATAAAACTTTTCTCAGTTCGATTCATGAAGACCCTGAAATACGGCACGACTTAATTACCGATAGCCTTTACCTTATATTTGGCACAGTTTTACTGATCATTCGTAAGAAACCTAACTTCGATGTAAGCCAATAACCTAAATATTGTTTAAGTTAGGAATGCTATATGTTTAAGGAGGAATGCTATGAAATATGTATAATTACTTTCACAAAGAACAATGTACACAAATGTTTGTGATACGATGATTGTTTTCTCTGACAAAGATTCAAAAGATTAAATCAGCTCTAGGACAACATATTCTAGACCAATGACATGAGATAAAGAGGAAGGGATTTAGAATTTTTCTTAAAGATAATAATTCATATCGTTTGTTAATAAAAGAATATCTTGCAATTTTAAGCCGTTTTCCTAAAGGAATTTTGGAAACTTTAATCAAAGATCCAAAGATATGCATAGAGCATATCGGTCGACATTAGATTTTTTAAGTGGATGCATCAGCGGAAACACTCCTGAACACAGGTTTGCCGTCGGAACAGAGAACTGAATGAGAACTATTATTGGTACTAGATGACCTAACAGCCAAAGCTTGGTTTCTTACATGTATAATCGTGACAAATCTGAATGTTGCAACAAACCTTCATTCTCTTAAATGCTGTAGCCTTCGTTCAAATAAAACATTTCCTTTCGAACTTTTAATGGGAATCCGTCTAGTTATTGACGAAGTCCTCAGAAGTTAGCACTTGTGGTTGTCTAGAATGAAGAGAGGTTATTTTTATCTTTTTTTTGGAATGATTTAGGACATATACAAATATACGAGAAAATGACACGCATTTGGATTTAGTCAAACAAACGTACGACATATGTTATTCCTTTGTCCATATTCATACAAAACAGTTTTCTGTTTGCTTGTGTGCAAAATATCGTCCGAAGATGGCGGCTAAGAAAAAAGTCATGGATAAGCCAATCAGGAGAATCTCTTGACGTATAGAAGAGAGGTTTTGTTTGGTTCCTTGTTTTTTCGCCTGATTCGAGAATGAAAAGAACAACCGGTCTGTTGTATAGCAATAGGACTATATGTTTTTTCCACGAGTCTAAAAGAAACCTTACACGATCGTTGACGAGTTTTTAGTCTATTTTAAAACT